TCGTCTGACTTATATGGACTTATGGCATTTGCTACTTGGTCATAGTATCCTTAGGAGTGAAATAGATGAAAAATCTACTAAATATATGTTCGATCTATACAAACAGAAGGATTCTAAGTCGAGACTGCAATGTAACTTGAATCACCAGAACAGAGAGTCATAAACCCTCAATCAATTCCCAGACTTGAGCCAGTTTACAAACCTACAGCCCCTTCAATGAAAGGAAGGCCAGGTCCCCTTGAAGAAGGACCTCAATGTACTTCCAAAAATTTATATTTTAAATCTTTCTCCCAAAGGAATCAAAGATCTTTTATGAGAATGACAGTTTGATGGGGAAAAGGAAAAGACTTTTTGGTGATTACTGGACTCTGACTCTGAATTGATACTAATTCCAGGAACATCACTGTGGCCCACCAATCAGAGTAGGGGCATAAGGAAGTCAGATTATTAATGGAATCTTAGTTCTGATCTATTTTACAGTGGGTCCACTAGGTCCCCAACTCCATCCTGGAGTGATTTACCCAGTTTTGGAATGCATAATTAGAATAGACATAATCAGCAGCTGGCAGAATCCCCACATTGGATCCTAATGTGTGGAGTAAGGGCTATTGTGGTAGGAAAAGCCAAGTGGAAGCCATTAGAACTGCCCCTACCTAGGGAAATAGTAAACAAAAAGCAATAACTCATTCCTTAAAGGACTGAAGAAATTAGTGCCACCAACAAGGACTTGAAGGATGCCGGGGGGGGGGGGTTCCCACCACATCTCTATTTAATTCACCTGTTTGGCCTGTGCAAAAAATGGATGGATCCTGGTGAATGGCATGGATTATCATAAACTTAGACTCCTATTGCAGCTGCTGTTCCAGATGTGGTTTTATTGCTTGAGCAAACTAATACATCTCCTGGTAACTGGTATGCAGCTACTGATCTGGCCAATGACTTTTTCTCAATTTCAGTTTCAGTGGATCACCAGAAGCAGTTTGCCATCAGCTGGTAAGGCCAACAATATACGTCCACTGTCCTACCTCAAAGGTATATGAACTCTCCAACCTTATGTCATAATTTAATCTGCAGGGAACTTGGTCACTTTTCCCTTCCACAAGATGTCACACTGGTCCATTACATTGATGACATTATACTGATTGGACCTACTAAGAAGGAAGTGTCAAGGATTCTAGACTTTTGGGTAATATATTTGCATGCTAGAAAGTGGGAAATTAATAAAAATTCAGTGCCTTCATATCAGTGAAATTCCTAGGAGTCCAGTTGTGTGAGGCATGTTGAGATATTCCTTCTAAGGTGAAGGATAAGTTAGTACATCTGGCTACTCCCACAATTAAAAGAAGGCAAAATGCCTGATGGTCCTCTTTGGGTTTTGGAGGCAACATATCCTTCATTTAGGTGTGCTAATCTGGCTTACTTATCAAATGACTCAAAAAGCTGTTAGGGCCCAGAACAAGAGAAGGCTCTGCAATAGGTTCAGTTTGCTGTGCAAGCTGCTCTGCCACCTGGGCCATGAGATCTGGCTAATCCAATGGTGGTTGAAGTGGTAGTGGCAGATAGATATGCTGTTTGGTGTCTCTGGCAGGCCATTATTGGTGAATCACTGTGCAGACCCTTAGGCTGTTAGAACAAAGCCCTGCCATCCTCTGCAGAGCACTACTGTCCTTTTGAGAAATGGCTTTTGGCTTGTTACTGGGGTTTAGTAGATACTGAACCCCTAACCACAGGCCACTGAGTCACCATGTGGCCTGCACTACCCATCATGAGCTAAGTGTTGTCTGATCCACAATATCATAAAGTTGGATGTGCACAGCATCACTCCATCATTAAATCAAGTGGTATATACAATATGGATCTCAAGCAGTATCTGAAGGCACAAGTAAGTTACATGAAGATGTGGCCCAAGCACTTATAGTCTCCACTCCTGTCACTTTACCTTGTCTATCCCACTCTTCATCTATGGCCTCCTGGGGAGTTCCTTATCAACAGTTGACTAAGGAAGAGAAAACTTGAACCTGGCTTACAGATGGTTCTGGATGGTATGCAGGGACCACTCAGAAGCGGACAGCAGCAGCACTGCAGCCCCTTTCTGGGACCTCTCTGAAGGACAGTTATGAAGGGAAATCCTCCCAATGGGCAGAAGTTCAAGCAATGCACCTAGTTGTTCACTTTGCTTTGAAGGAGAAATGGCCAGATGTGTGATTATAGACTGATTCATGGGCTGTGGTCAATGATTTGTCTGGATGATCAGGGACTTGGAAAGAATATGATTGAAAATTTGGTGAAAAGGAGGTGTGGGGAAGAGGTATATAGATAGATCTCTCTGAATGGGCAAAATAGCTGAAGATATTTGTGTCTTATGTCAATGCTCACCAAAGGGTGACCCCAGCAGAGGAGGATTTCAGCAAACAAGTGGATAGAATTACACATTCTTTAGAAACCAGACATCCTTTTTCCCCAGCCACTCCTGTCATTGCCCAACAGGCTCATGAGAAACTGGTCATGGTGGCAAGGATGGAAGTTATGTTTGGGTTCAGCAACATGAACTTCCACTCACCAAGGCTGACATGGCTGCAGCCACTGCTGAGTGCCCAATCTACCAGCAGCAGAAACCAACACCAATCAGCCAATAACCTGGTGGCAGATTGATTACATTGGACTACATCATGGAAAGGGCAGTGGTTTGTTCTTACTGGAATAAACACTTATTTAACTTCCCTGCATGCAATGCTTCTGCCAAAATTACCATCTTTGTACTTACAGAATGCCCTATCTGCTGTAATGTTATCCCACACAGCATTAACTCAAGGGGCTCACTTTACAGTAAATGAAGTGAGGCAATGGGCCCATGTAAATGACTGATCTTATCCTATTCCTCATCATATTGAAGCATCTGGCTTGGTAGAACAAAGGAATGGCCTACTAAAGACATAATTATTAAAAAAAAAAAAAAAAGACAATTATAGCACCAATTAGGTGGCAACACTTTGAAGGGTTTTGACAATGTTCTCCATGAGGCCGTATATACTCTAAGCCAGGATCCAATATATGGCACTATTTCTCTAATAGCCAGTATTCATAGGTCCAGAAACCAAAAGGTGGAAATAGGAGTGGCACTATTCACTATTACCCCTACTGATGCAATTGCAAAATTTTTGCTTCCTGTCCCTGCAACCCTATGCTCTTTGGTCTGGAAGTCTTAGTTCCAGAAGGAGGAATACTCCCACCTGGAAGTACAATACTGATTCCATTGAACTAGAAGTTAAGAATGCCACCCAACTACTTTGGTCTCCTCATGTACCTAGATCAACAGACCAAGAAGAGAGTTACTGTATTGGCTGGTGTGATTGATCCTGATTATCAAGGGGAAATTGGATTGATATTATATAATGGAGGTAAAGAAGAATATGTCTGGAATACAGGAGATTTCTTAGGATGTCTCTTAGTACTGCTATGCCCTGTGGTTAAAGTCAATGGAAAGCTAAAATAATCCAATTCTGATATGACTACTAATGGTCCAGACCCTGCAGGAATGAATGTTTGAGTGACCCCACCAGCCAAAGAACCATGACCAGCTGAAGTGCTTGCTGAAGGCAAAGGGAATATGAAATGGGTGATGGAAGAAAGTTGTTATAAATACCAACTATGACCTCATGACCAGTTGCAGAAATAAGCACTGTAGTTGTTAGGAGTTTTTCTTCCTTGTATATGTGCATCAAATATTTTTGTTTTCTGCACTTTTAAAATAAAATGTAAATGGAGCTAATAAGTTTTCAGTTATACATGTGTTAGTTGTATTATTTTAGGTACAAGTATGACTTTATAATTGTTGTTAATTAGATTATATATATAGTTTAAGGAGGTGTGTACAGGTGCCAAGTTGACAGGGGGTGGTCAGTGATGGTTAAAGTTGTGTATCACCTTGGCTTGGTGATTCTCAGTCGTTTGGCAGTTATGATATAGTCATCTCCCATGATGACATCTGATATAATAACTTCCATGATGAGATCTGCTATGAGCAGCCAATCAGTTGAAAGGGAGTTTTCATGGAGGTGCAGCCTACATCCAATATATGTGGACCTTCTAATAAAGCACTCTGCTTTGTGATTGCTCTGGACCCTGCGTCTGACTCATCATCATCTGACTTCTGGTTCTTTGAACTTGAGTCAGTGGCCTGCCATATTGCCTGCAGATCTTGGGATTTGTTAGCATCTGCAGCCTGTGAGCCAATAGCTTGCTGTCTGACTTGTTGATCTTGGCTTTGCCAGTCCCTATAACTACGTGAGTCAGGAGAAACCACAAGCCTGATGTCTGATCCATGGACTTGGGACTTGCAAGCCTCTACAAGTGCATGAGACACTTCCTTGAGATCTCTCTCTCACTGTCTCTCTCTCTATAAACACACACATGCACACACACACACACACACACACATATGTTTCACTGCTTGCTTCTTTAGAGAACCCAGCCTAAGGCACTGGCTAAAGTCAAAGCGTTGGCAGGGCTGATTCCTTTAGGAGGTTCTTTAGGACAGTATCTTTTTCCACATCTTTTCCAGCTCCTAGATCTACATTCTTTATATTTCTTTGCTCCTGGCCTATTTCTTGATCTTCAAAGCCAGCACACAGCTGCACAGTATCTTTAAATCTCTCTCTGCTTCCGTGGTCACATTTCCTTTTCCCCTTCTGCAGTCAGATCTCCCTGTTCCCTCATATATGAACACTTACGATTACATTTAGGGCCCACTAGATAGTCAGTATAATCTCCCCATCTCAAGATCGTTAACTTAATCACATCTGCAAAGTCTCTTTTGCTATATAGGGTAACATCTACAGGTTGTGGGATTAAATATGGGTATTTTTAGGGGCCATTAATCAGCCTGCCAGAGATATTTGTTGGCTAACTATTCACCAAGCAGACCCTGCAATACTGCTTTCATTTTCCAAGAAATCACTTTTTAAGAAATCTTCTCACACAAAGCCCTTCCCTTTCCACAGGCTGATGTTGGTGAGACTAATTCTGAGGACAATGGCAAACTCCAGGTTAAAGCTGCACTGCCCAAGGACACTGTGGACAGTGCAGAAGGCCTGGAAAAACGGGCTCAGATGGGAAGTTTACCCGGAACCATTCCAGAAAGTTCCCCATCTCCTAGTGAAACAAACAGAAAAGTACATTCAGGTACATTCCTATTGATCTCCGCAAAATACTGTTTCTCTGTTTTATAAAGATATGTTTTGTGGGCCATGCAAAACTCTAAATGCCAAGGTCCTTGTTTCAAGGATATTAGAATTTAACCTTAGACCTTTAGTAGGTGAGTAAATAATGCCAACTATGAACTTCTTCTTGAGGAAATAATTAAAATCATCTTTGTTTTTTATGTTTTAGTTTTGTTTTATAATAGAGTCATTATTACAGTATGGAGACAGGTCTTTGGAATAAAAGTAACCCAAACAAAGAAAAAGAAGAAAATCAGTTGCCATTGATTTCAATTCTGACTCACAGAAATCCTGTGTGTAGAACTGTGCTACATAGGGTCTTCAATGGTGGGTTTTTCAGAAGTAGATCACCAAGGCTTTTGTGATGCAATGAATTACTTAATATGGCCTGTAAAGAGTGCATAGTGGAGGTGTCTGACCTCTTTTAACTTCACAAGGAGGGTAGAGGATCATTATCAACAGCCCAAGGCTGATTCCTATGAAGCAAAGGTCAAACATCCTCTACCCTCCAAACTTTTCACCAGTTCTGACACCAATTGTCCCTCCCACAACACTCTCTACTTCTCTGTTGGGTTTGATAATTCATTGCAGTGGTCACACAGAACTCAATGACAATGAATTACTTAATGTGGCCCTCCTAGCCATAGTCTTTGTAACTCCTACCAAAGAAAGAGTGAGAGAGCTGAGCACCTTTGGCTTGTTGGTGGAGTAGAGTGCCTCTGGGCAGGAGGCTTACTGGCAAAATGGGATGCCTCTGAGCACTTACCAGCAGAGCTAAAAGAGCTTTGTAACACTTGGCCAAACGGGGAAGAGGTCAAGGTACCAAGGGGCTCAGAGGCCCAGGGCCAGAAAGAGGTATGCCTGTGGGCACTACTGAGAAGAGGTTGTCCTGATGGAAAAATTGTTTCCAGAGTCATTTCTGAACTCGAATTGTAACTTGTTTCCCTAACAAACCCCATAATGGGGAGTGTTGTTTGTGAGTTCTGTGTAGCCACTGCAACAAATTATCAAGCCCAGCAGAGAAGTAGGGAGTGCTTTAGGAGGGATGGTTGGTGTTAGAATAGGTAAAAATTTTGGAGGGTAGAGGCATGCCGGACCTCTGCCTCATTGGAATCAGCTTTGGGTTGATGCTGATGGTGATTCTTTTTCCCTTTCATGAAGTTAGAGGAGGTCAGAAGCTTTCACCACACCATCTTTTCACCTGTCTTCCCAAGCACCTCTAGGTGGGTTCAAACCACCAACTTTTCAGTTAGCAGTTGAGTGCTTAACATTTACATGACCCAGTGACTCCAGAAACAACTCAGGCTTTGGTTAAAAACAAAAATCAAACTCACTGCCATCAAGTTGGAGCCGACTCATAGCAACCCCTCCTTGGGTTTCCAAGGTGGTATCACTGCAGAAGTAGATTGCCCAAACTTCCTTCCAAGGAGTGGCCAGTGGGTTTGAACCGCCAGCCTTCTGGTTAGCAGTCAAATGCCTTAGGCACTACACTGCCAGAGCTCCTTTAAATTCCCACTATGTTAAAAGCTCTCCAAGGGGAGACTTCATGTATGAAAAAAAAAAAAAGAAACCCTACATCAGAAGGCTTCTTCTATCTTTCCCTATCCAAAAATTCTGCAAGTGTATAATAAAGGAATCTTTCAAACTAAACATTACCACCTGTTGTGCTAATTGAAACTATTTGTGTTTTTTCTTGTGGTGTGTTTCCCTTTACTTGTGGTACCCTCTAGGATTAGTTTAAGAGATTTTATTTATATTTTATCAGCCTTTGGGGAAAAAATGAACTTAACTCAAGAAGTAGTCTATTTTACCTTTTAGGAAGAATTTCCTTTTATTTATTTTTTTTTCTGTAGTTTCTCTATGTGTAAGTTGGGACTGGAAAGTAGATGTGTTAATAAATGAGACTTCTTTTGCCCTTTGACTTACGTGGAACACTCAAGGTTATCACAGATTTTTTGTGTACCCTCATCTTGTGGTTCTGCTTTGGTGTAGAAATGACCTCTGAGAATGAGGCAAGAGTAGGGACATGCAGCACATTCTCTTCTCTGTGTTGGGTCAGCACAAACATTTCTTCTCCCTAATTCCTTTGATGTGACTTCCTTCTACATTGCAACTCAAATGCCAAAGATCTATGTTGTTAACAGACTGTGGATCACGAGGAAGACAGGGACCATGGTGTGTCCTTGGACTGTCAGTCTAGACAAGTGTACACAGTTAAAGGCAGACTGAGAAGGTTGACAGGTAAGCAAGATAGTGCTAAGAGAGAATAGCTTGGGGAAGCGTCTATGAGTTTCTTGGGGCTGCTATAACAAAACACCACAAAGCAGGTGGCTTATAAGAATAGAAATTTATTGTGTCACAGTTCTGGAGGCTAAGGTTATACTCTTTCTTTGAAGGCTCTGAAGTTTCTAAGGGAAAATTGTTTCTTGTCTCTTCTAGCTTTTGGTAGCCCCTGGCATTCTTTGACATTCCTTGGCTTGTAGAAGCATCTTCACATGGCTGTCTTCCACTGTGTGGGTGTCTCTGTGTCTCTTCTCTTTTATGAAGACATCACTCAGATTGGATTAGGGCCCACTCTACTCCAGTATGACCTTGTGTTAATCTAACCGATAACATCTTCAAAAACCCTATTTCCAAACAAGATCACATTCGCAGGCACCAGGGATAAAGAGTTTAACGTGTATTTTTTTGAGAGACAGACACAATTTAATCCATAATAGCAGTGAACCACCAAAGCCAGATCTTTCATTGTAAATGAGTTTCCAGGAGACATCTTAACACAGAATAAATAAACACTGTCCTCAGCGTTATGTTTGTTCTCTGCCCAGTTTCCCTCTCCTCTCCCAATTCCTGGGAGCTCTGGTAGTGCCTGAGGCATTTGACTGCTAACCAGTCTGATCATTCACATAAACTTATAGGACCATTGTCTGCCAACCCTATACATGTTCTTGGATACACTCCCCATTTCATAAACATACCTAATAGTTCAGCCTGTCCACCCATCTATCCATCCGTATACCCATGTTTGCCTTCACTGACAACACAGTACTGTATGTGCAAAAGGGTTCATCTTTGTTGTCTGTACCTTCCATGCTAACCAGAAGGCTGGCAGTTTAAACCCACCAGCCATTCCTCAGAAGGAAGGTTGGGCAATCTACTTCCATCTACATCCCTGCTCTTTAGGTCCACAGAGAATTATTGTTAAGAATTTTAAGTTTGTTTAAAATTAACATTTCCTAGTATGTCCTATTTCCTCACTCCTTTTTTAACTTTTTATTTTGAATAATTTTAGAATTTAAGAAAAGTTGCAAAAAACAAAGAAAATCTATTTTCTTTCACCAAAATGCCCCATATGTTAACATTTTACCAAGTTTGTATTACCATTCTCCCCCCTTCCCTCTTTCTCTCTCTCCCATATACAGATAATTTTTTTTCTGAGATCAAGTTACAGCATAATGTTATTACTGTATCCCTAAATATACCAGCGTGTGTCTCCTAAAAATAAGAATGATAATTGCACAATCACAGTACAGTTGTCAAAATCAAGAAATTAATAGTGACACATCAAGAAATTAATATTCACACAGTACTATTATCTAATTTGTACACCGTATTTAAATTTTTGTCAGTTGTCTCAATAATGTCCTTTATAAATCAATTTCTAGTTCACTATTTAGTCCAGGATCACACGTTTAATTTAGTTGTCATGTGGGTTTAGTCTACTGTAATCTTGAACACTGCCTCATTTTTTCCCTTGTCTTTTATGGTCTTGACATATGTGGAGAATTAAAAAAATAAGTAAATAATACATACACACACACACACAAAAAAAACATTGCCTTTGAGTGAAATCTGACTCATAGCCAACCTATAAGATAGGGTAGAACTGCCCCCATAGGGTTTCTAAGGCTGTAATCTTTATGGAAGCAGACTATCACATCTTTCTCCCTCAGAGAGATTGGTGGGTTAGAACCCCTCACTTTTGGATAGCAGCAAAGTGCTTAACCACTGTACCACCAGGGCTCTTCATGGAGAGTATAGGCCATTTATTTTGTAGAATGTTTGTCAGTTGGAGTTTGTCTGATATTTCCTTGTGATTGTATTCAGGTTAGGCATTTTTGGCAAGAACATAAAAAATGACATTGTGTCTTTGTCAGAACGTCAAGTCAGGAGTTACATGATATGTGCTTTTTTACTTTTATTATGTTTTTTTTACCACTGTGCAAAAGTTTCTTTTGATACAGTTAAATTTATTAATCTCTTCTTTTATTGAGTCTGGATTTTGAGCCATCAAATGCCTTTCACTATCAATAAAAGGAATTCACCTGTACTTTCTCATATGATTTCACTTTTTTTGTACTCAAGCTTATACAGAATTTTCTTTTTCTTTTGCCTTTCATTGGATCTAATTTTTTTTATTTCATTATTGTGATTTGGGTGAAAATTTACAGAGCAAATTCACTTTCCATACAGCATTTCACATGCACTTTGTCTCATGACATTGACCACAATTTACCACAATGCAACAGCTCCCCTCCTACTTCCTCCCCATAGTTACTTCTTCCCTGTGTCCATCCTTCCACGCACTCCTGCCCCCTGAGCTGTCTCCCTATGCATAAGCAGCTCTTCTTTCTCCCATGATTGTTCTCTCCAAGGAGTGTATCTATCTCAGGTAAATGTTCAACTCATATGCCTGTCTTTTGTTTGGCTGAAAACCACAGATGTGGGTTCAATTCCAGACTAGGGGCCATAGTCTCAGTGGTTCCACCAGGCTCTATTGGACCAGTAAACCTGGTCCCCCCCC